GGGTCGGCGGCGGAGGAAGCGGCCTGTAGCCCTGTGGGGCAGCTGCAGGGGTGCCGGCCTCCCCAGGCGGCAGCGACCCCCCCCCTCCAGGCGACCGGTGCCCCGGGTGGAAGCCCGGGATTGCGCCGTTGGGCATGCTGGGGAGGCGCCAGGTTTGGGGGTGACCCACTCAGAGCTGCGCTTCGTAGGACGGGCAGCCACGTAAGTCTCATCGGTAAGTACATCCGTCCTTCAAGAGAGGGACCGGTTTTGTCCTCGGTGTCACGGAGCCCCCAGATTCTGAGAGGGCCGTTCCTCTTCTCAAGTTTTTCCAAAAGGCGGCAGGGAACGTGCGAGAGAACGTCGGCGAGGACGTGGACACGGAGCAGCTCATCCAGGAGACCTGTCGCAGCTGCCTGGAGCAGGTGGGCGGGGGTCGCGGCAGCAGCCCCGGTGGAGCGGAGGAACTGCCGCACTTGAGCGCTGGGGGGGGGAGGTGGGCAGCCGCAGCAGGGTGAAAGGAGGGCCCTGGCTCTGCTTTTGCTGCCGAGTGGAACGCCACCGTAACTCTTTCTGACTTCCTTGGGAAAAGGCCCAGCGAGAGCCCTAGGTATCAGCACATGGCCCCACACGAGTGTGGCTGCCAAAAGTGCATCTCTGAGCTGTTCCAGCTAGCAAAAGGAGAGACTCGCTACACCTGCACAGCCCTTTCTGGAATGGCTGTGGCTGGCAAGGCATTTCTGGAATCACCAGCCACAAGTGTCAGGGTTTCGGGGAAATCGACCAACTCTCCTGATGCCAGTCTGACCATCCTCTCCTTGCAGGCCAAGCTTCTGTTCTGTGATGGAAAGAGGCCTGTTGCAAGAGTCCCCCATGAAGTGCCGGCAGTGAAGGTAATCGCAGAAAGCTGGGCGCAGGAGCAGAGGAGAGCGTGGAGGGTCCCTTCCCCTCCTTGCTGTGAGAAGCCTGTGGCTACATGGGCAGTTCTTGCTCTCCAGGGACCGCTTTCTTTCTCTCTGTGCAGCGGGCAAGGCCCTTGGAGGACGAAGTAAGCCAACAGGGAAGCCCCATCCCCAGAAAGGTAGGCCGCTGGGGGAGTCCCTGGCAGAATGCACTCGGTGCTCTTTTGTGCAACCAGGAGACGTTGATGGAGGGCTCTTCTCCTTGGCAGAGAAAGGGGAGGCCTCCAGGACAGAGCCAGCCTGGGGATCGGGGTGCCTTAGGCGTCAGCACGTGAGTAGGGTTCCCAGACGGCCTGGGAGGTCTGCTCTGGCCTGCACTCACCCCCTTCCCCAGTGAAACCTGGGACACCCTCTGGCCAAACCACCCAGCCATGATGGCAAGAGTGAGCCAGGAAGGAGGGGGGCTTCCTTCTCTGAGGAGGGATGGAAGGCGCAGCCAAGACTGGAGCCTGGCACACTTCTTAGCCTGTTACGGCATTGGGGTGGGGGGAGCAACAAAAGTTCTCCCCTGGAAGGACAAGTGCACAATGTTTGGCTGTTGCTGACTCAGCAGCCCCCCAAGATCATCCTCTCTGCTTTCAGGGGGAAGACCAAGTCTTGTGAACCAGTGCAGAGGGATGGTCCCAAGGTACGCTGTGCACAGAGTCCCCTTCCAATTTGCAAAGCCATCCCTGGGGAAGGGGGCAGTGGGGAGCCAGCCTTCCCAAGGCTGAGCCACGGGGCTGGCCACTGACCGGGGAGCTGTCAGGAGAGGACCGAGGGGCCCCTTGGTCAGTTCCAGTTCCAGGGGCTTTTCAGCAGAGCTCCTGCCATCGACTCACATCCCTCACTGCTCGCCGCTTCTTGCCTTGCAGTGGGATCCCTTGCGCCTCACGGAGACCACGAGTTTTGTTCTTGGGTCAAGAGCAAACAAGTAAGGGAGAATTGTGAGCCAAACTAAATATTAATATTTCTTCAAAGGGGGGTTGGGGTTGCCCCTCAACCATTGCAGACTTCTAACCAGAATTCATGTTCTGGATTCAGAGCCCTTGGAATGGGAGGAACCAGAGGCAGACTCTACATCAAGCACCCCCACTTGTTTAAGGTCAGTCACGTTTCTTTACCGGGGCGGGGAATCTTCCTCTCCCCGCCTCCATACGTGGGACCACTCTCACGGCAAGTGAGAGCAGCATGGAGATTGGTAGCTCGCGGCTAGGAAATCTGAGATGGGGGGGCACTGCTTAATTTACCAACGTACCAAGGAGTATCCCTGCCAACTGCTTTCAGCAAGAATGCCGTGGTTCATCAGATCATGGTGAGAGAAGATCAGTTGGCAACTGATTATTCTTATTCAGTGACAGGGTGACTTTGCTTCATCAGCATTCCTTTCTTTTTTTTGCCCCATGGATTCTCTGCAGATGTCTGTCCTGACTTGCGAGCATCCACCTGCTTGGCTAAATCATGCCAAGGGTTGCATTTTCTTCTTGGCCAATTTTTCCTCCCCCTCCCTCCAGCCCCTGCTCAAACTCCCCTGGCGTTGCCCCGAGCCCCCAGCCCGACCCTGAGTGCCACCGGGGATCGGGGCGGCGGCTGCTGCTGCTGCTGCTGCTGCTTCCTCACTTCTGCCTCCCTCTCTTTCCCAGTATGCAGCAGACCCGCAAGACAAGCACTGGCTGGCGCAGGAGCAGTACATGAGGGCCACTGGAGGGAAAATGGTCAGTGGGGGGCAATGGTGGGGAGGGGAGGAAGCAGGAAGGGGCGGACGGCTTCTTCCGCCCGGCCCTTTGCTCTTGGACCGTTGCACAGGGCCAGTGGAGCCCTGTCGAGGGATGGGCTTCTTCCCAGCGTTCTGCCGCAGCCGGGAGAGGCTGGATGTCGCTTGGCGCTCCTGATGCCTTTGCGTCTCCCTGCGCAGGCCTATCTCCTGCTGGAGGAGGATATCCAGGACCTGGCTGCCAGTGACGAGTACAGGTGAGCCCCAGGCAAGGCGGGGGAGCTGAGCCCATTTCCGTGGGGGCGGGGCAGGGCAAAGCACCTGGTCGGTTCCCACGCCCTCTGAAGAGCCCCAGCCTTCTTGTCCTGCTTCCCCCCCTTCACAGGAGTTCCCAGGACCTGAAGCTGGACGAGCTGAAGCCCTTCACCATTCCTTCCTGGATGATTGTGAAGATGCAGCGGTACATGAAGACCCTCCGCAGCGAAGGGGAGCAGCAGCTGTCGCAGCAGCCGCCACCCGCCCTGCCAGAGGGCACACGTGAAACTTAGATCGGGCTCAGCCGGGGCCCCTGGCGTGGCCTACCCCTCGTTTGCGGGGACAGGCTGCAGGGCTGCCTCTGGGAAGGTCGGTGTGGGGGGAGGCAACCTCCCCTCGGCCCTTTTCCAGCACAGGATCCCACTGCACGCCTCCCTCCTCCCTGATTTTGTACTCGGAGTCTTGTGTTTACTTGTAGGACGGTTTAGAGCAGGAGAAAAATAAAGGCATCTGCTTGAACCTGCTTTGCTGCTTGAAAGGCCGAGCCAGGGGTGGGAAGCAGCTGGCAAGCAGGGCAGGGAAGGGCAGCGGGGGCTCCTTGGCTGTCCAGCAGAAGGGTACCACGAGCCCTCACCCCCAAAGGCCTTTGTGGGCAGCTGCAGCGCACACGCCTGCTGTCCTCAGAGCGGTCCTTCCAGGCTTCAGGGGCGGGAGGTACGCAGCACCTAAATGAAAGGCAAAGCCTATGCCTTGGCCCACCCTTGCCAGCAAAGGCCTGGCAATAGCTGGGTTCTCGTGTGCGTCTGCCTTTTTTGCTTAGCTGGTTGTATGAACCCAGCCATGGTGGCTCACCCAGTAAACTCAGAAGAAGTCAAGGCTTGCTCTGGCACCTGCACCCATTCGGTAGCATGGAGAACGCGGAAGGCAGGAGGCAGCGCTTCTGCCCTTCCTCAGGGACGGTGCCGGCCTGCGGTGGTGGGGCATGAGAGGTAGGCCCGGGGGCCCCAATCCGCAGGGAGCAGCGGTGGCAGCTTCTCTCTCCCCTGCTGTATCACGCCCATATGAAACTGCTGGAGGAGGTCATCAGCTGATTGGGGTGTGCAGATGCCACCCAATTATGCATCCCCACCCTGGGCTGGTGGGGAGACGATGTTCTGCCCAGGTGCCTAGAGACTGCCAGGGGCTTCGAGGGAGGGAACAGGCTGAAGTTGAACCCAAGCGAGACAGAGTGTGATCCCCGGGTGGGCCGGTGCTCCCTGTGAAGGGGTGGGTTCGTGGCGGGTGATTTCAGATTGTTCCAGGCACAGCGTAAAGGGCCGTTCTAACCCCTGAAGGCCCCTTGCGGCCTGGCACCCGGATACCCGCAGGGCTGCTTCCTCCCGCCTGCGAGCACCGAGGGGGAAGCTCCTTGTGGTCCCAGGGAGCGAAGCTGGAAGGCTTCCCCTGCAGGGAGCAGGTTGCCCCTTCCAGAGGTGGTTCCCCTCTTGGGCCGTCCCTTTCAGAGTTATGGTGTGTGTGGTTAATTATTTTTATGTTTTAGGTAGTTTGTGTTTTCATCCTACGCGGATGTTCTTATCCCCCCCCCTTCCCGTGGAGAGTCATGGGACGGTGGCAGGATATGAATCTCAGAAAAGATACTTGGGATTCAAAGCGAGCGTGGTCAAGTGGGAAAGCACGTGTGTTGCGGATGCGTGTTGCAACTGGGGTCCCGTGAAGACAGTCAGCTGGAGGGGGGCGGCCCAGCCTCCCCCGCAGCGGACCGTCACCCGTTTTAGAAGAACGCAGGGGGGGGCGAAAGGAGAAGCCCCGGGCGGAGCGAGGCGGGCAGGCGCGCCGGCGGGGAGGGGAGGGG